GGAGTAATGTTTGATTTTATTTTAGCATCCCTAGGATCGGGTTACATTTTATGTATGTGTACTTATATGATATTGATGACCGTCAAGCGAAAACCACCCTTATGTGCATTGTGACGTTATCGAGAAAACGAGCGGTAAAGTTGACGTCATAAATGTTTGCCGTATTTTGCAAATAAATGCAGTGTGAAGACGCATCATAAATTAATATATTTCTTTATAAAGTAAATGCCTAGACTAGACAACATAATGAGTAGTCTTAAGTGTAATTATTAAAGCCTACTGTTTAGTATTAAAAAAAATAATTTTTTTAACAATTTATAGCAAACTGAAGGTGAAAATCTTTCGAAGTAGCGAATGCACGATCTTCGACCTTGTTTTCATTTTCAAGGAGCATTTTCTTTTTACTTAGAACTAAAACACAAATATGGGGAGAAATCGCACATTATCTTGAGGCAATAACAAAAAGAATATAGATCTACTCTTATTCAACATGATTTTTTGTCACTATTAATTAATATTTCTATATTTATAATAAAAATCACAGAAAACCTAATCAAAGGGTAAAGCCAAGGTGTTGGATTTTATACAAAGGTATGGAAGTTTATTTGCATACTAAACAGCATTATGTACCAAAAATCAATAACAAGCTTGAAGGAACTGGAAAGGGGGGGGGTTCACAGGAATATGATTTATCAGTATATAATTTAATTTGGGAAACAAAGCTATAAATTTACGGTTGTGCACCCTCGGTACAATTTGGCCGGTTTATACTATATATAACAAATGAAAAAGTTCGTTTTGTTTTGCTTTATGTTATTGCTTGTCAAGAATCCCCGTTCTGTACTGTTTTGCTTGCCAAGAATCCTCCCCCCCCCCCCCAAAAAAAAAAATTGCTTCCTACGTGCCTGAAATAATCTACATGGATGTTAACAGAAGGGAAGTAACCTGCATTATAATTATTTATTGCTACCTGGCAACAGGCTCGAAGCGTTCAGTATTCACCACTTCCTCCAAAGATTTTTCGGTATCTGTGTGTATTTTATTTGCATGTTTATCGATATTTAGAGGGGAAAGTATAAACTGTTGATTATTCATTCTATAAAATAGTTGTTAAAAAAGAGTTTAAAACAAATTGATATTTTAAAATTTTTAATCTGTTCATACTCTGAAAGGAATAATACTGCAACATTATGAATCCTTCGATCAGTTAATTAAAGACAAACACAACCTACATGTTTTGGGAAAAGATGAGAAATTATCATGAAAATGAAATCATTTAGATCTAAATTCTGTTGTATCCTAAATGGAGATAATACTAGTAATACATGGTTTAAGGTGGGTATAAGCAACTTTAAATTTGATGAGGTCATAGAAATAAAATTAATTAAATTGATTCAAATAAAACTTGAAACTGATGTAATATTTAGCATTTGGCGAATAACTATTTAAGCTATTTTAATGTGTCATTTAATCGACCAATCAAACCACAATTGTACAACTGTGTTAGAAACCTCTAGGAGTTAGCGTGCTGTCGGGTTATTTCCCTCCTTCTACCGTGCAACCACGGAAAAAAGAAGTTTATTCTAGTACGGTCTCGCTCACGACGCTCAGCCAGCAGGAAATAGACATGCAGTGGGATTAACAACATTCAAGGCTCTTTGTACAACCCGCTGCACCATTTTCAACAGATTTATGACAGGTTCATTATGCACTGGACTCTTCTTAAGCGCTCTCAATTCCGCACCACGTACATGTACATGTATGCCAAGTTGACCTACTGTGTTTTGGAGTACATATTTGGCCATACATGGTACTTAGTACATGCAACGCTCTCTCTCTCTCTCTCTCTATCAAAAAAGGAATTGTTTTAATGCTGCATTTTTGCATTTTTCGTCTCATGCCACTCTCTATCTGCATAAAATCTGTTCAGAATTAATGTGCGAGGATCGTATGTTTTGGTCTTTTTTTCCGATGGTGTATTTCAGGGAAAACGTCTTAGATTCTAAAGGCGAAATCAGGTGTTATTTAAAAGTGTACTTGTGACAATGCTTCAGATCTCATTTCTTTTTAATATAAAAATGTATGTCACGTCAGGAGGAGGGGTGCACGAAACGTGTGCTTAAAAGAAAAAACAGTACCCCTCCCTCATGACTGGTCTCTAAATTTTACGTTTTAAAAACTTTATTTTGTGCGGAAATCTTCATCCTGATAATTATTTTTTCATCAAAAATATGGACCCCAGCCACACTGTAAATTACGAATTCACTTCTGGTAATGCATTTTTATCTGCATAGCTGAAACAAATAGGCAAGTAGGTCAGGTATTAATTGTCTTAATTTTAGCAAAATTGTCGTCTACAATCAAGCAGGAAAAAACACATTCAATTTGTCAATTATTTTCAAATAATTAATTCTTTTCCTAAAACAGATATTTATTTATCATGAAGACTTGCTATCAGTTAAAAACTTTACTTCCTATGCAAGTCCTGTACTTTGATAAGAGGTGGTGGATGTTGGACTTCCTTTAATATGTAAGCTATATAGACGGAGAGAAGTTGATTGATTTGTGAGCTTGCTTTCTACCACAAGGCGTGAGAAATGCACATTTTCAGCAGATAAGAAAGGGGGAACTTCCTTCCGTTTACTGGAAAACGAAGTTCAGTGCCAAAAGTTTCACTTGGTAAAAATTATATTACAGCGATATATATTATATGCATATAAATGCAGTGTCTCTTCAGCAAATCTTGTTCATCTGCTTCCGGTAAAATGTGTAGCTGCGGCTAGAGAGGATGATTTCTTTATAAAGCTCTTAGGGCCATTTGTGAGAGATTAATAGAAAGATGTAATCGAATCTGCTCCTCAAACTGCTCCAAAAAAAGAATAAATTCTGGAACAAAATCATCATTTGAAAAAAAAAAACAAACAAAAAAACAAAAAACACCAGGGCAGTCTGCACAGATGATACAAACAAACTTTTGTCAAAAAATTTGATAATAACAACATGAATCGTGTTTATGTAAGTAAAATGAAAAAGTTTAACCGTATAGTTTTTAATATTTCATTCAAAGTTTCACAAAAATGAGATTTGAAGTGACAAAAAATTATATAGATTATGAAGTATGGTTGCTGAAAGGTACACTGTACAATTTTAAACAGAAGGTTTACAATTTCTTGATATTTTAGAAATTTATTATTTGCATCATTTACCATTGAAACAAGCCCAAAAATATATGCCAATCCAAACATCCATTTTTTGTTTGTATCATCTGTCCTTAAGGACAGAAAGTATTTTCGACGAACGGCTTGATTTAATTTATATGTGAAATAATATATTGATCTCTCTCTCTCTCTCTGGAAAATGGTGGGGCCTTTTGTTATCAGAATGCCCCTTATTAGCAGACCTAATTTTTGTATTCATATGAAGCCGAATTTATTCAGAATCGTACACATGAGAAACAGTAAACACTTTCTGTGGCCTTACACAATTAGATATATTTCGACAACGTATTATCAATTAGCAACATTTACTTTCATTCATATGTCGACTCGACATATCCTGATCATGAAATTGTTCAATTTTCGATCATAAAATAGAAATTAAAACTCTGAAACAAAAAAGCATACAAACCATCTGGGCATCAATCTGATCTGAACTGTGTAAGTTTTTTTTTGGGGGGGGGGTGAGGGGGTGCAAAAAAGTCTCTAGCATAAACCATATAAAGGGCATAAAGGCACAATAAACCCCCTCCCCCAAAAAGAAATATAAACTGAAAAATGATTACAAAAGAAGAAACAAAACATCTCGTGTCTCCTTTGTAAAAAAAAAAAAAGGGGGGGGGTAACAGAAACCTGATTTTTCTTCTAAAATGCTAAAATTATCGATCATAAAAAGGGACAATAACAAAGTTATTAAATAAAAATCACATATGTAATGTCATTTGTAGTCCGGGGTGATTTTTGTTGTGCAGTTTTTACAACACAACCATGGAAATGTGAAAACAAAATAAATGACGTTTTCCGATAAAACACCACGTCATGACATAGAGTATGTATTTTTTATTTTAAATTGTCACTTATTTCTAGCTTATAAACAATGACATGTTATATATCATTTGAAAGAGGAGAAATTTGTCTATCAGGATCGCTAAACAACTCGAAATGTCAAATTTTTGACTTAAGGGTGGTTTTTGCTTGACGTTCATCATATCCAGAAGGGGGTAGGTTGTTCCTGATATGTAATACATGTACTAGCTACTAGTTTGTACATGTAAAACAATCTGTTAAAATCCATTTATTATAGGATTGTCACGTTTATTACTTACTGTTGTACAATGACACATTTATAGGTGACAAATATCCGCACTTCATGCTTGAACGTTTTGTTTTCGTGAATAAGCTCATTAAAAAAATCTTTAGAACAATAAAGGTTCATTCGAATTTGTAAACAAACTAATGACTGTCTACTAAAATAAAGGCACATTTTTTTTTATTTTGTGCTGAGGGTACGCACGCGTTCTTTACTCTTTTTTTTCTTTAAATTCAAAATTTATTGATGAAAGTGTACATGGACTATGTATTAATTGCATGCAATTGATTTTACTTTCTTGAAGTAAATTTCATAGACTGCTTTTTTTCACAACCGTTGCTTTCCCTTTTTATTTTCTGCCTCTATAGACTAGTATATGCAGATAATACATACTTACATTACAGACACAATACATGTACCGTGGTTAAATTATTGAAACATTAACATGTCTTAAACAGTGTTAAAGGTCCAAATTAGAGAAAGATTTTAATGAGAATAAATTATCCCTGCTTAAATGAGTTCCTATGGGTTAATTCATGATCACCAAACCCAATTGACATCAAATATATTCATACGTAATATCGGTGAAAACGGAAAACCCACACCACTGCTATAAACATTTCGTAATGCGTTTGTCAAGTGTGTAAATTTCCGAGGCGTAAACACCTCTATAACGCGGGAGTGAACCATTCATTCGGAACAGTCGATCGAGAGTGTACGATATATAACATAAACACTAACGCCATCTATAATTGTACATCGCAAAGTATTTTAAATATATTGGAATATGTCTACTAACCAGGAAAAAACAGGACGTAAGTATAATATAGCTTATTGATATAAGATTTTTGGAGATTCTTTAAATTGCTTCTTTTTACCTCTAATCACTCCACGATGCTCGAAGAACAACATTCTTGATAACGATTGAAGATACACAGAGCTGCTCGCTTTTCTCTATGCGTATTTCAAGAATGCACGTAAATTTTGAAGGAAGGCAATAATATGAAATTCAAATAATTAAAACAGATCTGTAGAGAACTATTGTGTTTGTGAATACAATAATTTTATCGGTTGGTTCGCCTGAAGATGTTTTGATGCCATCGATCGGTTTCAGCGCCTGACCTAAGATTGACCCTTTTCTTTATTATTCAGGTTTTCCGCCCATTACACACGTGCATTATATGTCTGCTGCCCCAATAACAATGCTAAAAACAAAACAATGATTATTAAGAAGTGCTTCAGGCATTTCACAGGAAAATTTGAAGCAGTTAAGACGTCTCAAGGTGAATTAAAACGGGAAAATGAATTACTCTCTTTTTTTCAATGTGGAGAAGATAACAAACTGCTTTAAACACCGTACACCAATAATTACATGACTCTATCTAGCCATATTTAATCTGGAAAAGCTCAAGTGACGCACATCACACAGAATTTAAGTCGGTGTCGTTTTTCGTTTCCTAAAAAATAAAAAAAAGAAGGATCTACATAATTATGTCTTTGTATTGACTACAAACTTCGGTGAAAAATAAGATAAATATTTTTAGAAATTAATCTATATCAAAATAAATCTTTTTAAGACACATATTCAAAGAACATTTATCAGCTGTTGATATGAACATACAATATTCTGCTTGAGTTTGTTAACATAACATTGATTTAAAAAGTTTTTGAACTGCGCATTAAAATTACATGTAGTCATGCATAGAGCAGACAAGATTAGAAGAACGCCCAGAGACAGGCCGATAGAAATGGGCCCCATTTAAGTTAACACAGAGTAGATTATATCTGTTCGAAGCGGTTCGTACACATGTCACCCGATAACTGCATAACGAAATCAATTCAGTAAAAATGTCTTTGATTTTATTCTGTTCCAAATGTCTTGGTACATGATTGTAGGAATTCATTTTCCTGTTTTTTTAATTAATTGAATTTTTTCTATCAAAATGGGAACGGTTAAAAAGAATATATGATACAATTATCCAGCCTAAATGAAATTCGTTATATATCACAGGCGTTTGTTTCATACAGTACGCTAGTTTTCTACACAGGTACCTGTGGACAAGACCCCCCCCCCCTCCCGATATTCAACCCCGGGCTTGTTAGACATTTTTTTCACAAATTATATTTATTGCACTTATTCATCATGTGTACTATAGGAAAAAAGCCGTGAATACCCCAAAATAATCGTTCCACACAAAAAAAACCCCACTATACATTATAAGACTAATGTATAGTGTGGTATTTTTGTGTGGAACGATTGTTTTGGGGTTTTCACCATTTTTTCCTTTGGTACACGTGATGAATAAGTGCAATAAATATAATTTATGAAAAAAAATGTCCAACAAGCCCCGGGGTTGAATATTGGGGGGGGGGGAGGGTCCTGTCCACAAGTACCTGTGGTTTTCTAGTGTACAATTGTATACTAGAAAACTAGCGTACTGTATGAAACAAACGCCTGTCAGGCTGTGTTATACATGTATATTACCTTTTTTGCGTAGTCGTGCGTGAATAGTATATATCATTTTCTCCCGATGGAAAAAAAAAATCCTTGGGTGTTCCGAATCAGGCAGCACGTAGTCAGGGGGGAAAAATCAAGATCCTTTGAAAAACTTTGATAAAAAAAAAAAATTCTCTTAACACAAATATCCTATTTCGTGTAGGGGGGGGGGGCAAATTTTCTTCATAATACTTTATAATCCTGATTTTGACTTTTTCACAACCAAATTGTCTACATTCAGTACTACATGTATATAACCCTGATTTTGACTATGCAACAAAAAAAAAAGGAGGTGGGGAACTACACTCATAATGAACATTATATATAGTAAAAGCTTTTCTTTTTGGAAAAAATGAGGACGGGAACCCCCCCCCCCCCCCAACCTGATACTACGTGCCTGCGAAAACAGTTATAAGTTCATAACTCGTCTTAGATTGTGTATAATTTACAATGTATACGCATAAATTCTGGGAGAATGAAAAAAATAAGACTTGTTTGATAGGTATTATCGTGATAAACGTATGTTTTAGCAATATTTAACCCTGTGCAATGTGTTTTTACAGAGATCTATAATTTTTTATGAGAACCTTATGTCCTTACGTTAAGTACCTTTGTCTCTTTCTAAGTACCATATCATATTTATGAGTTTATGATTGTTAATTTACAAAAGGTTTGCATTGTTTTTGCTTAAAATTATCAAGTGACTACATTGTAATTTATTTAGATCAATGACGGGTTCCGTTGTATATATTCACCTGTTGATACGAATTCATATTTGTGATACTCGATACCTGACACCAGATACCAACACCTGTTGCATTATGTGCACAACATTCCAAATAAAAAAAAGAAAGAAAACCCATCATTCCCTTAGTATTTACATCCACTACAACATTTCCTTTCTTTAAAATTCATAAACTTCGAGCAGAAACTACTTGTATATGTCGCCGGATACACAGATACATGTATGTGAATATCGGACAATGTATGAGGTCTCAGTAGCAATTGGTTTGAGCGTGACATAGTACGCCAGAGAACGTGGGTTTGGGTCCCAGTTACGACTTTTTTTTTCATTACAAGGCAATGACAACTACATTATATTACCAGACACATCAAATGTTACCTTACATGCATGTATCAGGTATATTACAAACAATTCCAACAAATAAATGTTTTTTTTAATTCTTGAATTTAGGAAATATATTTTTACAACAATGTACATGAAAACCTAGCTTAACTTTAAATTGGATGATTTATGTACATGCAGAGACAAGTAAACGAGTACTATAATAAGAATTCAATTGTATTAATACGTTTATACTTTCGAATTGTTATTAATTTTAAAGATTCCATTAATATCATCCATCATACCTGTATATTAAGCAATGCTAGTAATAGGCTAATGTTGAAGTCTTCAATTATAAATTTTGAAAAGTAAATCTGATAAATTAAATATGAGTACGACGCTTAAGTGATGACATAACTTTTAAGAGGGTGGAATACTACATTGTACGATACACTTAATTATTGCTCAAAATGGAGGAGTATGTCCGTCGATAGTAAGAAGGGATGTGAGTAATTTCATATTTTCCTTTTTGCATTGATTTATTAAATGTAATTGTTATTGAAATGGTGGGACATTTTAAAATTAGTGTTGTAATTTCCAATCCTGTATGCAAAAGAAAAAAACCTTAATTACCATATTTCGTGTAAATATCCCACGCTTCACACTATCCTGCATATTTCTGTTTAAAAGTTTGGGAAATGATAAAATAATATATACTGAATTTAACCGCTAAATTGAGTACAAACCCCCCCCCCCCCCAAAAAAAAAAAAAAAATCAATCAAACAACAAGCAAAGGAAAACGGATAATTGAAATGTAAGAAAAGACGAGCGCCACCCCCCCCCCCCCAAAAAAAAATTCTTTGAAAAATCAATGTTTAGAGTGTCCAAATTGGAGTGATTATCCATATTTTTTCTCCCAATTTCTCCTTTCTCTCCTTCCTCCCGTTTAAGCTTGATAAACTTCAAATGTTAATTTAATGAGGAAAATTATAACATACAATGTAGTATACAATGAGCATTTCATAAAAAAAACAATTACATTTTGATGATACTCAGTAACTCACACATGTACATCCATTTCCCCTACATGTGTAAGAGTTACATGAGCTTTTTTAAAATACATAATATAAAAAAAATGTGTAACAAAAAATGGCATAATTTTCATGATTATCGAAAATCAATTAGTAAACGCATTTGTAACTGATACAGACTGGTTTAGAGAGATATATACTAGTATTCTGCTTCGTTGACCGTCTTTCCTTATGTTTGTCGTGTTTATTTTTATTTGCTGGTGTTCTTTATTTGTTTTTGTTTTTTTTTTTAAGACAGTTTACTTGTTAAATCAATAGAATATTGAAAAGATTTAATTTTAAAAATATTTCGTTCAATTAAACAATAAAATGCTAATATCTTTGATAGTATGGGGATTATCATTGCAGCTGTTGCAAAAAAAAAAAAATAATAATTAAAAAAAAAAAAAATAATAAAATAAAAAAAAATAAAAAATGCAAAACACGCGTAGGCAGGATATGTAATTTTTTCTGCAATGGTGCAATCATTCAAACAAAGAAATGCATTTTATTATTTATTGTTTATATTAATGTCTGTATAAATTATCGTATAAAGTAGCTTTAAGTATTATTGATACATGTGTCTACGTCACTGCAAGTTTCACTGATAGAAATCTATGCAGGTGGCTTGTAAAACGGTTCCAACTGGTGTCTACTGAATGATGAAAGAAATGGTTTTCATAAATATCTTCAGTGCATGGATGTATTTTTTTCAAAATGAAGTCTGTTGTGACAGATATCAATAATGTTCGCTATATATACTCATAGCTAAATGCAAATTTTAACCACCGAGAATAATGAATGACATATCAAGTGTCATAACATACATGTAGTACTTTAAGGGGAAATATAGAACTAAGATATTAAATAATCACAAGATAAATGCACAAAGATGAATGCACAAAATCGGAAATGGCGAAATCTTTACAAGGTCTAGTAAAGTGCGTTCCACATAGTCAATTAGGGTCAGATGAAAATCGCTTCAATTACAGTGAATAAATAAAAAATAAAGATTTTGCTCGAGCATACCGGTGTTTAACATGATATATGGCTGTATGTCTTGTACATGGATTCATTTTCTTTGAATTTCCCATTCGTGTTTGTCGATATTCAAAATAGTGCATGGCGCATTGGTTAGAGCGTTTGCTCTAGAGTCGAGGCGTTGTTCCTTACGTCGCAGGTTCAAATCCACTTTGCGATATGGAGACTGGTCCTTCGAATGAGAACGTATATAAACCAAGGTCCCGTGTTGCAGTTAGTGCTGGCACGAAAAAGATCACTCACGATCAAAGGCCGTAAGTGCCGAGTAAAGATCTAAATCTGCAGCCGTCCCCTGGTAAGTGGTGGCGTCTCGATGAGTGAGAAATTGACGAAGTGACGGTAAACAACCAAACAAACAAATGTCAGTGTGGTTTAAATTCAGGTTTAATTTATTCAAAATTGACCACTGTAGTAACGTTTCAACGTTTTATGGGCCCTGGAACAGTGGAACTCTTGATCTCGTCAGAATGTTTTGTTTTGCGTTCTCATCGGAAAACTGCGATTCCCTGCGAAATTAAGGCTTTGACAATATTCAAGTTTGCTTTAACTTATCTCTATGATTTACGATTTCCATTTGCAAAGATTCCCTTGAATCGTTTTGGAACAAGAATTCAATTAAACAGCTCTTATTCATTTCTGGATTTGCTTTTCATCAAGTCTATTATACAATGCTTCAGTACTTCACATGTATAAAATCATAATTTCCACGTCTTTTAGTGTGCTGAAAATTAATGTTTAAATTTCTGATCGTCATCATTTCCTAAAAAATTCCATCTTTAGATCAACGGACATAATTACTTTATTAGAATTTCTCTGAAATGACCTCTCATATCAATATATGACTTGTGTTGACAGGACTAAATATTGTTTCCCGCAATTCACGAGGAGGAAGGGTCCCCTTAAAGTCCTGGAGGAAGTTAACATCTGCATATTAATCTCTACTTAAATGTTTGAACCCCTTTGTCAGGATTCGAACATTTATATCCTTAGATAAAAGTTTGACCCACTTTTGAGGTCACACCCCAGCCCATTAGGACCATGATCTGAACATAATTTGATTCTCTCTCTCTTTCTCAAATATCCATACTTTAGTTATCTTTCATTTTCTCGCATACTAGGATTTTTATGTTAATGATTTTATTTATAATAAATAATATTAATTTAATTTTCTAAGCACCACCATCATACAACCAAGCAGCATATCCCAATACTCAGCCTCAGCCTCAGTATGGATACGGGAACCAGTACAACCAGTATCCAGGAAGTCAATATCCGCCGCAAGGTGGCGTTCAGGGCCAGTATCCCGGTCAATTTCAGCAGCACAATGTTGTGGTAGGTTATCTTTTGGTCCGTCTGCCTGCCTGAGGTTTTGTTGCAAAAAGGTACAGATTTAAACATTATATATCTAATAGTTGGGTTCACCTTAGTCACCCAGGTGAGCTATTATTGTCCAATTTTGTCCGACGTCGTGCCTCGTCCGTCGGTCGTGAACGTTAAATTAACGTTAAATTTCTACTTTTGGATGGTTTATCCAATGTTAACAGAAATTGTTGCAGTGTAGATTGCATTTTTGGGACGGGGAATAGAGCCATTCAATTTCACGGTCTCTGCCTACCTTGAGCCTGAGGGGTGTGGCCCTGACCATAAAAAATTAATGCAATGTTCAAAAATGTTTTTCTTTATTCATGGACATAAAGCAGGGAAACTGTTGGTATAATTCATGCAGGAAACTGTTTTATGTACGTTGATCATATATTGAAAATTCATATTAAATTAAATTAAAATACATGTAGATATCTTAGAAATTCTTGTATATTCCCCGTATATCAAGCAATGAGGCCTTTACCAAAATTTGTAAAATTCGTTACCTCTGCGTTAAGGGTTCAGGCCTGTGGCTTAATTGTTAACGTTAATACACCTGTAAATATTGAAACTACGAGTAAATTACAACTATATGAAAACCTTATTCACTACCATCTAGCAGGTAGACAAGTTCCATCAATATATCATTGTAAAAAAGTTGAAACTAAAGGAGTTGTAAACTTTCACAAATAAAACAATGATAACGCAATTATGACTTTAAGAGCAGTTTGTTTAAATTTTTGTACCGAGCTCAATCTAAATTAGCTCCCCGTGCATTTACTTATTCTGTCTCCTATTCTTATAGAACTGAATGCGAAAAGACGGTAATCTAGATTACTGGGGAAAAAACTGTGGAATGTAAACATAATTTTTTTGCCTTTATCTTCCCATTAGGTTGCACAGCCCGGGCCTACAATGGTCGTAGCCCAGCCCCCTCAACAAGACTGGATGGTACCCGCTATTCTCTCGTGTTTGTGCTGCTTCTGGCCAACGGGGATATTTGCCATCCTTGCCGCTAATAAGGTACATTTTTTGGTTATTAGGTGTTTTTGAGAGAGAGAGAGAGAGAGATTATTTATCTATATATAGAAGCAGTGTTATCTGTAAACATATGTATATATCCATTTTTCATTCTCATACATTTCTTATTTCTTAACAGGCAAAAAATGCAGCTGCTGTTGGTGATGTAGCGGAAGCACAGGAACAGTCAGGACGCGCGCGCACACTTGTCATCGTTTCCGTTGTGATTGGAGTTATTGTCATTGCACTTTCCGTGATACTGCGAGTGGTTCTCTACTCTAGTTACTCACGTTACTGAAACAAAGACGTCGTAATCACATGACTTCATAGCGAGGGCTATGTAAATTGTGACATGTTTAATCCTGATTCTGGAATATTCATATACACGTATATCACCGTATATGTTTAAAGGTTAAAGTGAACAAAGTATGTACAATCAATTTGATATAATAAATCATGTTGTAAATTGTGTTGTTAGGTATACTTGTGGGTAACTGTCTGCTTTTTAATGCCAGAGAAAACTTGACATTTTTTAACAATATGCTCCTAGTTTGATGCATGAAATGTCTTCTTTTTCTCATTATGTATTGTATATAACATGTTGCATGTTCTTCCCTTAGACAGATTTTCATGTATGTATATTTCTACATTTTATACAGTGAAAACATATGCTGATAAAGGCGAGAATATGGTATGCTTATGTATGCCATTACGAATTTAGCATATTGAAAATGTTAGATATTGTACATGTAAGTGTATTAGCTCAGTTAATTTTAGGAGAGTTTATTAATTTTGATAATACAGTTTTATTGAACTCATATTGTTGAATATTTGTACAAGTAAGCCGTAAAATGTTTTACAGCCAATAATTAGCTCTGTATCTCTTATACTGTATCCTAATACATGTAGCTAATACTTTTTTCTTGTTGATTTTCATTGTAAATTGATTTTTTTAAATTAAAAAATACAATTTAATGAGGATTTTTAGTACATTTTATATCGCCAGTATAGGCGTGCAATATCTGCATCTCTTCTGTAAGTGTTCAATATATGCAATTCCAAACATCCTATCATGAATTATGAGTTTCTTGAATATGAAGGGCTTCCTCAAGGCCGATACACACTATATTATTAGTAAATAATTAAAAAGAAAAAAAAAACCCACATATTTCATCAATCCGTGCCGTTAATATAAAACAATCCCATAATTATATATTTTGTTTAATCTGTGCAGCTTTGAAAGGTCATTTTAAGGCTAAGCTATAGTGCAATGAATCGTTGCAGAAATAACGCTGAAATACTGTATAATTATAAATAAGATTGTTTTTTTTTCAGGTTCAAAATGCTTAAATCGTTAATCTTAGATTTGTATTGAAGTGGGATAAAGTACATTTTCTAATTAGGAATAACTTCCTGGAAAATGCTTAAGTTTTAGACACCTGTCGTAAAATGTTTTGAATCAATATACTCATAGATTGACAAAAGACTACTTGAAAATGACAGAGTATTTTCTGTTGCCTTTTTTTTTTAATTTTAGATGAAAAAGTGTCCTTCTTAAAAGATAAATAAATTAGGCACAGGGAAAAAATCTTATTCTTATCAATGATAGGTACGAAAGAACACATTTGAAAGAGATAGGGTTTTCAAATTTTGACGTTTCATCGAAATAAGGTTAAGTTTCTTAAATTAAAAATAACTTCCTCCAGAACTTAAAAAGAAAAAATTGAAAAAAGCGTTGTTGATTTAAATTTAAGTAATGCAGACCAGGAAGAAGTTCGATCCTTTTGACACGGGGTACTTGAGAACTGGATTAGTTAGTCAAAACCTCATTGGACGAATCGTTAAGGACGTAATACTGCGCAGTAGAACGCAATTAAAGGGTAAATTATTGGGAAACCCCTATTTTTAATTTGTTTGTTTGTCAGTTATGCTACAACTTAACGTCAATAAACAGTCTTTGTGAAAGTGAACATGACTACATTTTATTCCTTAATACTGTCTCGTGCTCTCCATTCGAAACACACAATAAACACTACCAAGCTTACTGTTCAAAACATTGAAAATTATTAGAATATGTCTACAGACGGTAAAGCAGGGTGTGTGTAGTTTTTTTTTTTTACTTGCCAAGCTTTGAAGAGGCATTTTAAACATATTTTAATTACTGCGAATCAGTGTGTTTTTTTAAATCACAAAATTATATTGGGTGTCACAAGTGTTTATTTAAAAGGTTCTGAATATTTAAATACTTCTGTATTTAGTTTCTGTCCTCGTTTATTTGTCAAGATGTAATATTTATATCGCTCATCTTTGAAGTATCCATTATTCATTATTTGCCGCCGTCTCTCTACCGAGAACATAGAGGTGCATCTAGAGTAAAACTTGTGTATGTGTGTTTTATTTAAAATCAAGAATGAATATGAATCCCAAAAATAAAAGTTGATCTGCTAAACAAATCAACAATCAACATCAACAAACAAAATTTTAAAAAAAAATCAAAAGAAGGTCGATGTGGGAATGTTTGTTTTGTTTGTTTTTATGTTGTTTAACGTCCCTCTCGAGAATTTTTCACTCATATGGAGACGCCACCATCTGGCGGTGGAGAGCTGCAAATTTTGTCCTATACTCGGCACTTACGGCCATTGAGCAGTGAGGGATCTTTTTCGTGCCAGCACCTACTGCGACACGGGACCTCGGTTTATACGGTCTCATCTCGAAGGACTGGTCTCCACGTCCCACAGTGGGATTCGAACCCGCGACGTAAGGATCAACTCCTAACGGCGCGACTCTAGAGCAGACGCTCTAATCACTGCGCCACGCGGGCGACCGATGTAGGAATGATAATGAGAGCTAATAAGGTACAGGGAATCCCTCTCTCCCTCCACCCTCTCTCCTCTCTTTCTCTCTCTCTCTCTACATAGTAGTACTGTTTATTTATTCTAGTGACATGTGTTAAACAACATGAACGACCGTACAATAATAATTATCATCAGAATACAAACACCCGGCACGTTGGACCTATTTGTCACCTTATAAGAAATATAATACATAATCCAGCTCTAATATACATCTCGTGATCTTAACATATGGAATAATTGCCTGGTTTATTTTATCCAGATAGACGGTTTTTAAAAGTATGAATTCTTTACCCTTTTCTACATTGTTGCGATGTACAATTTATATAGGAATAATACATGTATACAAAACATATTCAATTATACACAAAAGGTAAAAAGAATGTAATTTAATTTCATCATGCTTTACGTTATTTTCGAATTCCCTGGAACTCATTAAGCGAAGTGAAAAGGTGGCTTAATTTTAGTGAGGGTTGACAATACAGAACGTGGCTAGGAAATTTTCAGGGATAATACATAATTGAATAATAACTTTTTTTAAAAGCAAATAATTTTTTTAAAGTATCAAACATATGAAAGAAAATTGATAGTGTATCGGTATTTCCCTCCATAAATTATAACAAAGGTAATATTTCTTGCTAAAAATTAAAGTGGAGAATTGAGAGCTCAAAAGCTATTTTTTTACTTTCCTTTCTGCACCCAATTATCAATGTAAAACGATATACTATTGGTAGGTTTGTAAAGTGCAAGTTAGTCACATGATAACCATACCTACCAAAAGTAGCTATCTGTGATTTAAGGGAGGTAATCCAATAAGAGTAATAAAAAATATTACCGTAAGGAAGGATAACTCTGTATCTATAGTCTGATTCTTTATTTCCAAGATGCTATATCACAACACACTTGCTCAAACATGTCAAAGTTGATGTCATAATTGTAGTTGTAGAAGTGATTGAATATCCTGATGTTAAAAGACTTGGAACAATTTATATTAAAGTTGATGCAAATATTATAATTCACTGTAGTATGGAAAAAAAAAACCACTCTGTGCACACTCTGTCCACAAATTCACTTAAAGACATTCCGGCCATATTATGTCACTCAATGTATGTAACATAAAAATTTAAAAAAAAGTAAAAGAAAAGTGATGTAAATTCCAAAAAGTCCATCAATGGAAAAGTTCAAATCCACGTCCATGCATATGTGGTGATGATTCCATAACAATTCGGTTATCCTCATTATCCAAGTTCAATATCACAAATTTATTGCTGCAGTGAAACTTCAGACATATTCCAGATGATTAAGAAGATTTATTGAAAACTGTTTGTTCACAAGAGGCTGGTATGTTGTTTTTTATTTTATGAAGAGCTGGTACAAATAATATTAAAGTTCACACAAACATCCAAGATTCAGTGTGGTGCGGAAAAACCTGCGGTTACTTATTCTGTCCATAATTTCACTTCAAGACAGTCCAAATATAATGTCACCTGGGTTGTGATATTGAAAAATGTAAAGATAAAAAGATCATGGGAATTTTAACAAGTCAGTTGATGGTAAACATCCAAAATCCATGTCTGTATCCAGTGGTAATGATTTCATAGCATTTCATGAAGAAATTTGTAAATCTCCAATATCCAAGTTGAATAACATAATTTTATCCTGCAGTGAAACATCATATATATTTCAGAGATATATTATTTAAGTGATAAAAATTGTATTTCAAGGGAGCAGAGGCAACTTTATAAATCATAATAAAGAAGAAAATGATACAATAAATATTTAAATTCATGCAAATATTTAAAAGATTTCAGTATAGTGTGGAAAAACCCACGCTGACTGAATGTTCACTAAGATGTTCAAACATGTATATCTCTACCTGGTAAGAAGTATATGTTAATATGATTATTTCATGGTATTTTAATTAGAAATTCATGTAAATGCCTTCAGAAGTGCTAAGCATTACAAATTTATTCCTGCAGTGAAACATCACATGTATTATAGATAATTATTAAGAGTTTTAAAACTGCATTCTAATTGGGAGCCGAGCTAGGTTTATTAAATACGAAGATGAGGAGAACTGGTATAAGAAATATTAAAGTTAATGCAAATATTAAATATCAGTGTAGTGTGGAAAAACCCACCCTGACTGAATCTTTACTAAGGCAGTCAAAAATCAAAGTGGTATGTAATAGTAAAAATGTAAGAATGAAATTATGGAAATATGAAGAAGTTGGCCATTGGTTTGAAAGAGCAAAAATGTATGTCATCGTCCAGTAAGAATTAATTACTACTTAGAAAAACCCTGTATATGTAAGTCCCTTCATCAGTGCTGAATATTAGAAATCCATTACTGCAGTGCAACATCACATAAGTTTCAGATAATAACTGTATTTCATGGGAAGTAAGCTTGTATGTTATTTTTGATGAAGAAAGTAAGACAAAACATTTTAAAGTTGATGCAAACATGAAGATTCAGTATAGTGCGGAAAAACCCACGCTGACTGATTGTGCCTACAACAACTTTACTATTATAGAAAGGCAGTCCTAATACAACGTCATTAGGTATATAATGTAAAAAAAATGTTATTAAGTTTTGCAAATTTGAAAAAGTCAATTGAGGGGAAAGTTCCTGAAAACCCATCATTTCCTTCATATGTAAAAAGCGTGCTCCTAATGATAAAAAATATAAATCCTGCAGATTAAAAAAATATTCCTACTTGTAAAAGTTTTGCAAGATATTATGTATCATATTTGTGATATTGTTGATATAAAGGCAACTGACTGATGCTAAAAAAGGATAAAAATTTTGAAAAAATGGAGAGGTGCTGAAAAACTATTTCAGTTAATTGTATAAACTTAGACATTTAAGGCAACTAGTATTACTGTGAAGTGCCAAACCTTGTCCCTGTCATGCTCATTCTCATGAAAAATCGATGTAAATTATTTTTGAAAGACATTTATGATTTTTTTTTAAAGATTTGCTTTTGGGTCATAGTCTGAACCAATCCGGCTTCCGTGGCGGTACCAGGGATTAAAATCCCCGCCGGCACAGCTCCAGGCTAATGACTTACTTTGCAAATGACATATAAAAAAAAATTCATCATCATATTATTCTTTCTCGAGTACAAGGAGAAACGTCTTGTTTAGTAACTTAAAATGATTAATAGGGTATATCAAGGAAAAAACTTCAGGTTAACAAAGTTCTGTATAAGAAGCACAATGGGAAGTGTTCCTTCCAAACATCAAGGACTCTGTGAAACTTCAGGTAAACAAAGTTCTTTATAACAAGCACAATGGAAAGTGTTCCTTCCAAACATCAAGGACATTGAAACTTCAGGTTAACAAAGTTTTTTATGACAAGCACAATTGGTAAAATCCCTTCCAAACATCAAGGAGATTGAAACTTCATGTTAACAAAGTTCTTTATAACAAGCACAATGGGAAGTGTTCCTTCCAAACATCATGGATTATAGTTTTGATATCGTTCATTAAGCATTAAAAAGTCGTACATTTTTAGTAAACAGTATTATAAAAATTATGTAAAAACTGGCTCAATTACATAACTCTGATGCAAAAAGATTAAAAATAATTCTTACTTTTTAAATTTATTTGAATTGTGAATATCGGGGAAACTTTTTTTTTTACATTAGAAGTACAATAAAGAAAATTCCTAAATGAAGATACATGAGGAGGAGTTATTGCCCTTACCAACTTTTTTTAAAGATTAATTAATTGATTATTTAAAGAAAATATTCAATTTTTCAATTCTTTTACTGAATAATATTTTTCAGTATATATATTGAAAAACATTCTTTAAATGGATATATTTTTATTGGGTATGAATTTAAATCTGTAACAGTTTTTACAAAAACCTTTGACATCAAAGGAGTGGAAATACCTTAATACACAACAATTTCGCCACTTTTCATAAATATGAAGGATAAAGTTTACTTCGTGAAAGTGCAAGGGCGTGTGTCAATAAAACACATCCTGAAATTTGTACTTTTAATGATTTCCATATAAAAGAACTTTCTAGAAAAATATTAGTAATGATATCATACTGAAAATATTAACCTGAAATCTGTGTCCCTTTAAATAAAGGATGTATGTCTGGTTAG